GTGTGACGGACGTACACACATATAGTGACCAGTGGGTGTGACGGACGTACATATATATAGTGACCAGTGGATGTGACGGACGTACACACATATAGTGACCAGTGGGTGCGACGGACGTACATACATATAGTGACCAGTGGATGTGACGGACGTACATACATATAGTGACCAGTGGGTGTGACGGACGTACATACATATAGTCATGTGGTAGTGTGACGGACGTACATACATATAGTCATGTGGCAGTGTGACGGATGTACATACATATAGTGACCAGTGATTGTGTCGGACGTATAGCAGACTTTTTATAAGTTGTTTCTCTAAGACTGATGCCGGCTCACTTTAGTCTTATTGTCTGTGTAATTTTTGTCAACCTGTTTGGCTTAAGGGGGTCCCTCCACCCGTTTTTTTCCAGCAGTTTGTGGAGCACACTTCGAAGTATACGTGTCAAGAAAGCTCTAAGTTCCCGGATTTATAATTTTTGATAAAAGAAATTTTTAAGCTTTTTCGGGTTTTTTGCCCTGTTTTTAAAATTGCAATAAAAACTTCATTTTTTGATATGAAGGGGGGATTCTAGCGTAGTTCGATAGAGAACATTAATTTGTATAAGGAGGAAAACTTTACATCGTTCCCAAATGAAGTTTGACGGAGAAATTTAACTTTCACCTTCCCGAGGAAATTTTAGAGCTAAAAGTATTTTGAAAAAAGCCTTACGGCTAGTTTCGCTCGAAGCAAGCATTTTGAAACAAAACTCTTAATACAAAAGTTGTTCAGAATCGAATTCTGGAGTTCCTCACGAGAGTTTTTTTAAAATTTTCTTTTTTTGCTTTTTAAATTGAAAAATATGAAATTTTGGGATCTGAAATACCGTAAAATTTAATTTATGATCTAAAATGATGAAATTCCATAACGGAGCGTATTTTCGCATTGTTCTATGATCTAGTCCCTTAAATTAAAAATCAACTAGATATTCTGAAAGCTCGTTGAAAACTGTACAAGTTTCGTATAGAACACATTTTTATCTGCTACTTCATTTGTTCGTTTTTTAATTTTGTTTCGAATGCATTGGGCAACATATCACTTGCGTTATTAGTATCAATGAATTATTAGATTTATTCGATTGCATAAGAAATGAACTCTCAAAAAATATTGTTGTCTAACTCATTGACATATCAGTTTTGAGCTACATATTAATGCAAATTGACGTTGACTGCCGAAATTGATATAGATTAATTTATTTCAAATTAATTTAGATCGATTTGAACTTCTCAGATTAATAGAAACTACTTTATGAGAATAAGTAAGTTTGAATTAGTCAGAAAATATCTAAAAGCTCTAATGAATATATCATTATAGACATAGTGTGAAGCAGTTGAGAAATAGATTTAGCATAATTTCATTTCATCTAATTTTATAATAACTAATGGTATTTCTTCACCTTCATAATTCTGATATGGATAATTATCATGATGTTTCCATAACCATTTTTGGGGTTGAATTGACGTAAAAACTTTCCCGTTCAATTTATCAATGTAAATATGTAGCGTGGCTGGATGACTAGCTTCAACAAGTGCTAAACGAAAACCTTGTTTCAATGCGTATTCGCATGCGAGACGACGAATTTTGTAACCTAGACCTAAAAGAACACAGCAGCAACAGATACCGTAATCGTTTAATTTGATAGGCTTATCTGTTTGTTTACTACACTATTTTCTTGAGAATTTCTGTGAAGTTAAATACTTTTGACAATGTATCATGTTACATTTTATATTAGCTTGGAGCGTAAACTAAGGTTTGATTCATAATATTATTAATTTAACATTATGGTTAAGGTAGATGTCCATATTTTTAGTTGACTTGCTGTACGACATGGTATGAGCTGTCCGAATGACAAAAGTTTATTAGTCTGACTTTTTTTGTTGTTTTGATAATTAATGTTTGATGTCTGTCTTAATCTAGGGCTATTAAGGTGTGTAAAGAATTATTCAACTCATCCTCACACTTACGTTTCCACTTACCTTTTTTCATTAAATTTTCATCTGTCGCACCAGCATAAATATGCAGTATTTGTTTCTTTTCAAATTGATGGAATTTCTTATACTCATTTGTAAACCTCTCTTCCATTTCCATACATAAACACAATAATGGAGATTCTAAGCTTTGTCGTTGCCGCTCTTCATTGTTCGAACAACGATAATAATCACCACATGTCAAACATGACACAACTTTTTTTGTATGCTTATCAATGGCCACTAGCGACAATTGTTCTTCTAATAAATATTCAACGAGTTTTTTCATATACTGGTAGATTACATTTTGAGGTCTATTAGCATGGCGAACCACATCATTATGCAATGCAAATGAACGAGTTAAAAGATGGGAACATTCATCGATATGTTGAGATTGTAATATTTCATAGGAATAAGAGGAGTCTTCATCGATGATGTCTGTCATGTTGGTGGTCAACTTTCTTCTTTTCAAGCTATGTAAAAGAATGTTTTCAGTCCCAACGTAAAAAAAACTTTACTAAGCAAACTGGTATAAAGTAGAATGTACTTTTTTGTGTTTTTGCAGTATAGTTTTATTCTTCTTTGAAAGAAAAGAAATAAGACACCACTGGTGGACGTTCTTGTAGGTATTCTTGCAAGATTCTTGTTTCTTGGCATTTCAGACAAGTATCTTGTAAAATATTTTACATGTATTTTTATCACAAGAATCTTGCAAGAAATCGCTTTCTTGTGAGTTCATACAAGAATCGCGA